CTAAGATCTCAACCATCCCAAGTGAAGCATGATCCCTTGGAGATAGGGCCACTCATGCGATCATATGTTTTCATCATATATAATTTCACCGCACACCAATACTACTTGCCCCTCTTTCTTTTCATTGAATGAATGCACTCATATGCCGCAATCACGTTATCCATGATAAGTCTCCCTGGTACAAAGCACTTTGTTCCTCAACACTGATCTCATCAAGAATCTTACAAAATCGGCCAGCCAAAATCTTGGAACATAGCTTGTATATAACATTGCATAAAGAAATAGGCTTGTATTGGGTGATATTCTTTGGGTGTTTTACCTTCTGAATCAAGATAATTATTGTTTTTTAACATATTCAACAAATGGTCGCCGTTTAGATAATCTAGAACTGCGTTTGTAACACCATCTTTGATCAAATCCCAATGGTGCTGATAGAATCCATAATTGAGTCTGTCGGTTTGTAAGAACCTACATATGAGTTGTGAGCAACAACTCTTTGAGAGTTTGGCTAGGAACTGAACGCGTCCAACAATCCTAAGTCATGGATGAGATATGTGGATGAACTACACATGAACACAAAGAACTACCCAGGTTTGGGCCACCTTCTTGGTGTAATACCCTACTCCTGCCTTGTTTGTATTCAATGGAGAGAGCTACAATGTGTCTGTTACAAGATGAAAAGCTCGACCCCTTGTGAGGTTCTGGTCTCCCCTCTTTATAGTGCAGGGAGAGGCCTTGCCGGGGGCTCTGATTGGCAGAATATACATTGGTGTAGGCTAACACAATTTGTACTTCGGTGGCATGGTCGCTCATGGCATGCTTGTACGTGTGATGATAACGTCCTTCTGGGGCAAAGCGTTACCCTCTAAATACCTCGCTTCCCCTTTGGTATTCGTTGGGCGGTGATGAGGTATCACTACTGTAGTAGTGTAAGCAGTAGGTGAATATTAGTGTAACCACCGTGTATAGCTTGAGCCGCACGGGTCCTGTTAGAGCCCATGTGCAAGGGCTAGCCATTTGCCCTTTGTCTCCATCCATATGCAAGTTGTAGTGTCTCGGGGTACAGACTACCTACTCCCTTAAGGAGAGAAGACTCATTCCCCCGCAAGGGTAGGCGTCATGACGTTGTGGCATCCCGGGAAGTCCCGTGAGGGGCTTCCAGGAAACGGTCCACCCTTTCCTTGTGACCTGTCTCCTGACGAACCAGACCATGGTCCAATGGATGTATCGAGGTCTTGGGCGATATTCCCCTGGATGAATAACATCGATGTCCTCGACGCCAAGGCTCTTCTTACCGGGTTAGTAATACCCTTGTTTTACTGACGCTGACAGTAGCCCCCAGGCCCGTTACCCGTCTTGGTGATTGCAGGGATCAAGACGAGGGATGGGGCCATGTTTTTCTAGAGCCTTAACGTGTGGCAAATGGCCACACATGACAGGAACAAACGATGGAGACTTTTTGCGTTGTATTGAAGGATAGCTTGAGGGGCACTTTTGTCAGACCAGGGGAGCACCTCAATTCCTGCCCATGTTCGTGGCGCGTTCTTGGAAAGCGGGGAGCATGGGCAGTTATCGCCGAGAGGCGGGCGGTTTCCCTTGCTTCTGCCCTTTGATTTATAAGGGAGGGGTGTCGGGGTGATGCTAGTCCGTTCCGTTGCTCTCACCCCTCATCCATTCTCTCCGACATCGCCCAAGCTCTTCTCCTTTTCCTCGCATCTGCCCCCATCCGGGATCTCTCTCCATGGAGTCGCATAGATCCATACCTTCCGCGGTTAAGAGGAAGAAAGGCAAGGAGGAGGCGGCATCGCTACCGCCGGAGCCGGCTTTGCACGAGTTGGATTTCGTGGATACCGACAGCGCGAAGATGCGTCGCTTTTTGGTTAGCGGCCGTGGGAGCGAGTGGGGCACATGGAGCTGTGGCCGGCGGGAGGCCAGGAAGCATATGAGGACGCGGTTCCCATCTTTGTCAACTTGCTCGCCACCGGTCTGGTCCTGTGACGCCCCCAACTCAATTGTGCACTAATCATACACGCAAATATGCACAATAAAGATAAAAGACTCATGTAAAGATATCACAACACAACTCTAGACATAAATACAAACGTAAAGCTTTAAATTACAAGTCGGGGCCACAAGGACTCGAATACACAAGTCAGCGAAATCAACAACATCTGAGTATAGACATAAATAGACAAGTTTTTCTTAAAAAGGTTGAGCAAAACAACAACTCGATAAAAAGGCGCAGGGCCATAGAAACACAACGCAAACAGAAAAAACGATGGCACAGGCCCCAACGCGGCAACGCGCGACGGGAAAACAGTCCGACAAGGGAAGGTACACAGCGCGTGACGGAAAACGGAATAAGACACAGCGAGACGCGGGATCAAAGTTTTGCACGAATTTTTCAGCAACTAGATCATGTGGTGGACAACGTAGACGTGACATAGCTAATTCTTACCTAGATGAGAATTAGCAAATCCGTTTTCTTTCGGCCGGGGTGTATAGCTCGGTTTTTTGCTGGACCGTGCATCGCGCGTTGTCACGTCATGACCGACCGAACGACGGGATCGCGCGCGCGTTCGGACTCGGAGAAAACGAATCAATGTCAGAACTGCGCCCCGGACAGGAAATTTCTGTCTATATATACATGCACGCGCGCTGTGACCCCCGTACCTATACGTGCAAGTGCAAAGCTAGAATCTAGCTCGCGCGGACCGGAAATCTAGTCTAGCTAGACCAACACAAACTAGTTCAGGCCCAGCCATGGAGCCGGAGAGCACCGTACTGGAGTATTGGTTCGGGGTCCGCGAGCGAGCAGGATTCGCCGGCTTCCGCGGCAGCAGGCGGCCGAGCCTGCTCATCGTCGACCGCTCCGGCGTCTACTCCTCGGCGAAGCGCCGCTACATCCGCAAGACGCGCCACCACACCTACCGCGCGCTGGCCGCAGATCTCGCTCCGCTCGTCAAGGCCTACCGCTCCCTGCGCAGGCTCGGGCTAAACGACTGGCCGGAGCACGACGAGCGTACCAGGAGAGAGATCACGCGGTGGAAGCACATGCACATGCTCATGCCGAGCAAAATTTGGATTTACCACATACTAATATCTAATGACACACTCTAAATCATTGAGATTAAATTAAGTTCAAAAAAAAATCATTGAGATTAAATTTGGGTGTGCATACGTGTAACCTGATCACACTCCAAATACAACTAATACGCGCACACAAAATTGTTCACACGTTCTATTTTTTTGTGTCATTTAAAATGTGTTTGTGACTTAAAAAAAGTTACTCCCTCCATTCCCTTATACAAGGCCACTATAAAAAATACATTTTGCATCTATACAAGGCCACTAACAGTAATCAAGCCAAAATTTAATGATGTTTTCTCATACTAGCAACTTGTTTAATACTTGCATGCATGTAGTCATAATGACACTGTGTTACTTTTTTCTCATTCCATCTTGCATGCATGCGGGCATATTAATGATCCCGGTTAACAAGAAGAAAAGTTGGCCTGCAAAACAATCATTAATTTTACCTTGGTTTTTGTAATTTGAGTTTGTAACCTTGTATAAGGGAATTGAGGGAGTATGTAATTTAAAAAATCATT